TTAAATAAAAAAAAACTAAATATAAATAACAAATTATTATAACAATATATTTGTGATAGTACACATAAGTATAAATATACAATACAATAATATTAAAGGGTAAACGGAAAAAAAGTCCCCGTTAATAAAATCATACGAAAAAACATGATTGTACGTAATTATTACATTTATCAAAACATTTAATAATTATGCGAAGCACAAAACGAATAATCGATCAAATACAGACTAATAACGTACAAATAGTGAGCACATCAATATTTTCAATTTTATCGATCGTCAAACAGGCTCGTAAATTAGATAGATGAGTAAGGTGTAGGTATACTATCCACTACCCATACCTATTAGATAAAGTGAAAATATTATTTATATTACGTTTATTTCGTAAATTACCCAGGTAATATACTGATATAATATATAATATCATCTAATCGTTTTTGAAACTTACTCATAATACCTATACCGGCTATACCATGTAATACACTAATGTCACTAATACATTGTTGTCAAATATAGTGCGTTTATTTTACAAATAAAATTAATAATTACGTACAATCATGTTTTTCGTATGATTTTATTAACGGGGACTTTTTTTCCGGCATTCTACAGATGACAGATAATGTCAATATCATGACTACATTTTATTTAGTCATGGTTAATGGTTATACAGTTCTACAAATACGTCTTGATCCGCATTACGATTTACAACCATAGACTTAAAAAGAAATTATAATAAGAGAACAGAACCACAGTACCACACACGTTTAAACTTAGTTTATAGGTATATGGACGCTACAGCAGCTATCGTCTCTGTCCTACAAATGTACAACATATCAAAAACTGTATTGCGTATAYAGAATATCATGACTTGGACTGTTGTGACAGCTTAAACTTGTTGTAATCTTGTTAATCTTGTAATACAATATAATTAAGAACATTATCTGTGAAACACCGTTTTTATTTTTTTGATCACTTATATTTTTATGTGGTGAAAATTTCATTTTTTAATTATAAATTATAACTCTAGCCTTATCGGTTCTTCTCCACGTTAAACAGTTTTGGCTATGTTATACTGCGAATGTTTTCAACTTGGATCATATAATAGGTTACTAGTATATGATCTAAGGTTCTCAATAAATCTACGATTACCACCTATCCTACAAATCTTGGCATGGCGAAAAAACCACATTATTATCTACATTGTAGACATAATATTGCATCTATTTAGCACATTATTTCATATCTTATTTTATTTTATGTATACCAGTTGACTTTTTGACTTTTTGACTTTTTGACTAATTGATATTATGTTATGTTATATAATATATAATACTATACTATATCATAGTTTATATGTAAGGATGTTTATACATCTAATTACCTGTAATTTGTAATCAACATCACAAATCACAATCGTGATAAACGTTTGGCCACAGACCAATATTTCATCTATTCTCAATTCTGTGGTTTGGCGGTGATCACGATTTAAGGTATATCTTAAATCGTGGCGGTGATCAATGCTCATTGATAATATATGATTACATACTGATAAGCTGTTCGTTAATCGTAATAATGCTGAACGCAAGGTACCGATCCAAATACTATTTCTGACGTTTCAGCAATAATTCACTACGCATTTTCTGGCTCGACGATTGTTGGCCTATGGTGTATTGTTGTGGACGGATTCGCACATACGCCGTCGTCGTTCGACCTGATAACGACCACGACGTCGTAGTGATGGGTCAATTGTTTTTAGCGAGATAAAAAGTATATCCACCTGTGGCTATAATAATAATTTCATCTACTCACGGTACGCGGCCTTGTTGCTGGTAAGACGCATATTGCGAAAAAATTAGCACAACAAATTAATAGGTAGCCACTGTACTAACCTCGCGTTTGGTGAATGAACAGCCTTTGACGTGTTCCCAATCCCTCAACACAAATCGATTTTGTTATTCGCCGCAGGTGTACCTACGATCTTGGCATGTGCGGTATATTTTGTTCGTTCATCAAAGGGTCAACCCCGTGTGGTGAGGTAAGACTACTGGCGTCCACTGTGGCTGCTGCTATTGCACAGTAGCCATTTCATTCTAATTAGATTTCCTAGACCCGTTTTGTTCGCAGATCAGCAAGTGTAGATCTTCACTTCAGAAGAGAGGCCCAGATGTGGGTTCCACTAATCAGATCAATGTCAATGGATACACTGCATTATTCTCAGGCAACATACTGTGGACCCAAGGGGAGCACCCAACCAGTCAGCCGTATGTTGATCGAAAAGGAAATATATTGCTGTGGAATGGTGATGTGTACAGTTGGAATCTGACGGTGAGTCTACTACAATCAATAAATATACTCGACATGTATATATTATTAAAAAGTCATATTACCAGATGAATGCTAGCATTAAGGATAGTGATACAAAAATAATATCAGATTTTCTGTGTGATGGAGGCAGCATGGAACTGCTTATGACTTCTGTCCACGGCCCATATTCCATTATCTATTACGACTGTGAACAGCATGTTTTGTGGGTGGGTAGAGATCCAATAGGCCGCATAAGTTTGTTATGGAACATTAGTGTAGACAAACTGATTGTCACTTCAGTTGGACATAAAGACATCGCAGATCTAGAAGAAGTACCAGCCATTGGATTGTTCAGATTTGATTTGAATGCTTGTAAACTCGGTATATAAATGTCTAAATATTGTTTCAATATGTAAATTTTTAACTGTATATTAACTTTTCAGAACCTCAATTATACCAGTGGTCACACACACGTATTGATTGTGATTACGATATTCCAAATGAATTGCAATATTTTAAACAAACCTGTGTTCAACATGTTACAAACCCTGAAGACTCTATATTACAACAAAATGATCAATTAAACATATCTAAGCTATTATTGCACCAAGAATTTTGTAAGAATGTCAGTAATCTGATTCACTATTTATCTCTATCAGTTGAAAAAAGAACAACAATCAATCCAAAGGCTTGTAAAATGTGCGAGTTCAAATGTGATCATGCAAAAGTTGCTATTTTATTTTCAGGAGGCATAGATTCGGCATTACTAGCTCTATTAGCTTCCAAATATGTCGAATCTGATGAACCAATTGATTTGTTAAATGTTTCATTTGAAAGACCAGCTGATTCTGGCAATTTTGAATGCCCAGATAGACAAACATGTTTAAATACATTAGAAGAGTTAAAAAATTTGTGTCCAACTAGACAGTGGAACTTAATAAAAGTGAGTGACATTGTACTAGTGGGTAGGTACAATTTATAAATTTAAAAAATGAAAACAATTAGATTTTTTTATATATATATAATATTTATCTAGATAGACATTCCAAGTGTTGAATTGCAACAAAAACGTTTAGACACGATACGCCATCTTATTTACCCTTTAAAAACCGTTCTGGATGATAGCCTTGGTTGTTCCTTATGGTTTGCCTCTCGAGGACTTGGCAAATGTAATGGAAAATCTTATAAAACCCCTGCACGAGTAAATAATTTTATCATAATRATATGTTTTAAATATCATAATATTATACTAGTTCAAATAATTTAATGTGTACTTAKTTTTCCATTATTTTATAAATTATACTAAAATTATTAATATTTGTTTAAATATAGCATGTTTAAGATTGGTTATTGAAAATGCTCATTATAGTTAAACCCTGGAACTTTCACTTTTAATATTTATTAGGCCTCAACTAATTAAAATGTTTAAAGTGAGCAAAAGCAGTAATCATATATCTCAGTTGATTTAGTTATGATAATTTATTAAATGAATAGGTACTTTATCTAGATAGTGCTACAGTGAAATTTGTCATTTGTATTATACACATGTAATATTGCACAACTATTTATAAATTGTTAAATATTAGAATTAAGTTATTAAAACATTTTCAGATAAAAATTGTCAAAAATTAATGTTTAACCCTCCAAAAAAAAAATATGGATACACCATATCTTTACTAATTATGATTATGTGGTGATAGTAAAATGTAGATTTGTAAAATAAAGTAGGAAATTCAACAGAATTCTTGAAACATTATCAATAAATTGTCATTTACTCTACTTTAAAAGAAATGAGCTGCTTACAAACAATGCAAAAACATAAAAAAAAAGTTGAATATCACTAAAAATGTCTTTATTAACTTTTTAATTTTTCAATAATATTTGTTTTAATATCTATAATACTTATATAATTAAAAATATTTATCTTAATGTTATAATATTAATCTAATTTTTTGATGAAAGCTGATACAAATTATAATTATTGGTCGGAAGTTTTATAGTGAAACTGAAATATTTTCATATTGATTACAATATTTAAATAACTAGATATTATTCAATGTTTATAATATAATTTTAATTACATAGGTGTTATTGTCTGGAATGGGTGCAGATGAGTTATTGGGTGGGTATACAAGGTACAGAAAAATTTTGCAGCGACATGGATGGCAGTCACTAAATGAAGAATTAGATAAAGATTTTTCCAAAATACCATCACGTAATCTAGGTCGAGATAATCGTGTATGTTGTGACCATGGTCGTCAATTACGTACACCGTATTTAGATGAACATTTTATAGAATTTATTAGAGGACTTGCACCATGGCAACGGTTATACATTTTTAATTACTTAAATAATATTTAGAAATTTATTATTTTTATTAATATAAATATTTTAGATGTTGGCCAAAAGAACCATACCCAATCAACTTGGGTGAAAAACTATTGTTACGATTAGCAGCATTCAAATTGGGACTTGTAAATGCAGCCTGTTTACCAAAACGAGCTCTACAATTTGGCTCAAGAATAGCCAATAAAAAAGAAAACGGAAATGATTTAAGTGATAGATTATAAATTTATTTAATAAAAATATATAAATTTATTTTTTAAACACTGAATCTTATTATTTRTTTATACATCATACATATCAAGTAAAATTATTATTATTAAATAAATCAAATTATTTCTCTGTAGGATGAAAAAATAAAAAATAAATTTACTTTTGAAACTATTAATAACTATACTAAACCTTATATATTAAAATATCATTAATTGTCCAATGGCTGACCAAAGATATTCTGTCGAAAGAATTTTTGTCTTCATGTATTTCTCGAATAGTGAATACTTGCAATTTATTTTTTCCTTTTACATGACCAGTACACCTATTAATAAATTCAGGTAAAATTTAAAAATTCATTTTTAATGTCAACATGTAATATAATAAATTATAATTATTTAAAAATCACTATGAAAACACGGTTTAGCTTTAATTTTTAGTTTTATCTTATAATATATCGTAATAAATAAAATACAAATAACACAAACAATACTAATGTTCCTCTTGATATACAAGGCATTTTTCTATCTATTTCATAAAATACGCATACTATTCCAAACTTTTTCTGTTCATCACGCAAACAAAATATTTTTTCGCATTTATTACTGCCAGTTTTCACAGAATCCATAATTCCTAAAAATAAAAAATGTAAGAAAATCTGTTAATATAAATATTAATAATATGCAATTCTTTTCCAAATTCTAATTAATATTAAAATTGAACATAATCTTTTTTTTAAGTTATTGGTCTTGAAATTATTAATTTCTGCTTAGACAACTAATGCCATTATAGCATTAAATTCAATATTTTACTAAAAAAAAATACATAATTTTAAATATATATAAATATATGAAAAAATATAGTCGTTAGTATTGAAATCTTTTAATAAATAATATATTATTATAGTTATTGGATAGATTTTATATCAATAAATAATATTTAAAACTTACCGAATACTTGGTAAATAATTTTGGTCGGTTCCAAAAACGATAACAATCGGCACCAATGGGCCACTTGTTTAACACTTCCAACCAAAAGCTTCTTGTCCTCATYAATAATTGCTTTGGATTCATCATTAGGCTTGTTACTATGATTGTGAAAAGTGTTAATAGTGGACCATGCCAATCAAATTATATGTGAAAATAATAATTTTTCAAATTAATAATGGGTAAGCAAAACCTAACACCAAAAAAGGGACGAAATAATAAATTCACTAAAACTACCAATTCAATTTGAATGGATTGTATTATTCATATTTTAAGTGTAAAAATATAATTTCAAATMTGAAATTTTACATTGGATTTTCTTTGTATAAAAAAATATGAAACTTTCAAAATATAAATAGTTTTCTTAGAAGTTTATTAGTTAGTTACCTAATACGTTTTCCTTGATAGTTGTCATTTTTTTTTTTTTTTGGTAAAAATAAATGTTACCTATGAGTCTTAACTATGTGAAACTTCCAGGTAACAGGCTGCTGCCTATAGCATAATATGTATGCAAATTATTTCATATTAAATACCTATAATCTATATCAACCGAGTGGGACATTCTATCCAGTGCTTAAATTTAAGATAAGGAGGCAAAGAWACGGTAAGATCCGTATAAAAATCATCGACAAAAAATTAAACAAATTGTTCGGTACAAAAATCGGAAAATATTATTACGCAGGCGTCGGTTGAGGTCCCGTGCTTCGGCCGTACGGATGATGACGGTTGCTAGAATTCGGACTGCTGCTCGCCGAAGAGTCCATCATCTCGGTGTGCTGTCTGGAATGCAAACCGAGTCTCGGCAAGTGTAAATATATTACGTTCTTTTAGACGATAAACGCTTAGAAAGTTAAAACCTATAGCCATTCAAATATGGAGCAATGGAGCGGTGACGATACAATATAGTGTAATATAAAAGTCTTGCAATTTTGTATTAAACTATAATATCGTGAATTCGTAAAACTCATGGCTAGACAAACCATCCATGGTAGAAACTAGAAGTTTAAAACCCTCAACGCCGGCAAATTGTTGGTAAAAYGGTAACTGTAGAAATGAGGTTAGTAAATACCAACCTGAATGTCCTGAATACCAAATGTTTACAATCTGCCGCAACGCATTAACAGTACGGGTGAATACTTTAATTTAATATGTGTATAGTACATAGACCTTATACTCAGTATAAGGTCTATGGTATAGTATATTTCTCTATCAGTAATTGATTTGATGTTATACTCTACGACTAAATTGGTCTATCAAATTCAGATAAATTTGAATGCTTCTTGCACAGTTGCACGGTACAGCTATTGTTTTGTGGTATTACTCTATGAGGCGGGGGCATTTGAAAAATAAACTTTGGCGGSAAATAATAATTCTACAACGATCTCCATGGAAGCGCCACCGTAAAAACCATGGTTTTGATTTTAAAAAAATATCATCTTAAAGACCGTGGTTTAAGCACAGAATAATTATTCTGTGGTTTAATATATTTTTATATATCTGTGGCTTTAAGCTTCCAACGGGCAGCAACGCGATGACAACTACTGATAAGACGACCGCCGTGATTTGCGATACAATTAATAGTAAATTAATAAAGTGTATTATACCATATAGCCATTAGCGATTAGCCATTTATGATATAGGAGAGCTGGTAGGTAATTGCCAATTGATGTGTGTAGTGTGTACAGTACAAACAAAATATTTATATTCCTATATACGTCCTCGAACTTTCGTCATTTTCGATAGCCTTTGCTTAAAAAAGTGCTTTATTCCATATTTATTTCGTTCCTGTGCTTAGTAGTGATTTATCGTATTTCCGCAATTCTGCGTTAAACGGTACGAAGAATCGCGGTGTTTTTTGTCTCGTCACATTTCATTCTCACTTTTGTCGTTTCAAACTATGTGAATCGTGAATGACATAATTTGGCGGTTCGATGCTAGTACCATCAACTGTAAAAGTATTGTTCCTGTCGAAATCTGCCGGCAATTGGCGAGGACTGTTGATGTTGAAGGTTGAACATTGTATAGTGTAGTTGCTCCGTATAAATTTAGGGTAAGTGAGCTGAAGGAGTCAATGTGTGTTTGATGTATAGGGGATTTGTATTGGACTACTTGTATTACGATCATAGATAATAAAGAATCTTTATTATCTATGATTTCGATGCTCTCGAGTAGTGACTAGTATATATATATTTAAAGTGATTATATTCCGTGTAAATATGTTATCTGGTACTTTGTAGTTATTTCCTACTATTATCCAGAGTCCAAGCTTACAGTCCTTTCCAAATCCCCAAATTGTAGTAGTTATGTACTTTTTTTTTATTATTATTATTCATAGCTAGAGAAAAGGTGTCAAACTCCTTCTAAAATGGATCAAATGTTACCGAGCCCAGGGTTCAGTATTCCTAGTATTGGAACCCCAGTACATCAACCAGAAGAAGATCAACAGATTATGCAAATGCCACCGCTACAACCACAAGGTCTAGCCATGAGTACCAGTAGTCTGCCGTCTAATAAAATATATCAGACAAACAACATGGGTTATGCCACACCACACAGCATGATGCATTCACAAACACCTGTAACAACTTATTAAATAAATAGTATTTATTTAGTAACCAGACATTAATCACAGAATTTATTTTTAGGTACATCAAAGTATGCCATCTTTGACATCCATTAGTTCATCATCTTCAACAGTTCCAGCTCTACAACCTATTCAAAATCCAGCAACGCCTGCTCCAATGACACCTATGACACCAGCTTCTGCTGATCCCGGGATTGTACCTCAACTCCAGTGAGTTATTGTTTTTTATTTAGTGCATCATTTACATAATTTTATGTTCTTATTTTTATTTAAAGAAATATAGTGTCGACAGTAAATCTTGGATGTCGGCTTGACTTAAAAACTATTGCTTTACATGCACGTAATGCTGAATTTAATCCAAAACGATTTGCTGCCGTCATAATGAGAATACGTGAACCACGTACTACAGCTCTAATTTTTAGTTCTGGTAAAATGGTGTGTACTGGCGCTAAAAGTGAAGAAGATTCCAGACTGGCGGCTAGGAAATATGCTAGGATCATTCAAAAACTCAGCTTTCCCGTGAGTCTGGTTGAAGTCTTTGAGAAAATGATATTATGTTTATTTATTTATGCATTTAAACATTTTTATTATTAGGCCAAGTTTTTAGATTTTAAGATTCAAAACATGGTTGGCAGTTGTGACGTGAAGTTTCCTATACGCCTTGAGGGATTGGTACTCACTCATGGCCAGTTTAGCAGGTTAGTTTATTCTTTTATGTTAAGTTTTGTAATTTAAGTATTTATATTTTACTAATAAAAAGTTTATTTTTTAGTTATGAACCAGAACTGTTTCCTGGACTTATTTACAGAATGGTTAAACCGCGTATTGTGTTACTAATTTTTGTTTCTGGAAAAGTTGTACTCACAGGTAATTTATAACTGCAACGATTAATTAATACAAAAACTAGGTTTATTCTATTTTAATAAAGAATTATTGTTAATGGTAATAGAATATTACAAAACACAAAAAATTAAGTTATATTAATTTAAATTCATCAATTCTAAGAACAGTGGTAGAGGTTTAACATTTCTACTCAAATTACTTTATTAGTTATGACAATTTGAATAAAAACACAAGATGCCATTGGGCTAAAATTGCCATAACTACTCAACTTTATATATGTAAGTGTCTCGCTTCACATGATTTTTTACATTTTACTTGCCTTGAAAGTATATTTTTGAATTTTTGTGATGTGTTTTTATGCACTGAAGATGCTGGCGAGACCAGAGTTTGTCTAAAGACTTAGTGTATAGATTTTTTTATATATTTAATATCTTGTCATAGTAATTTTTGTCTCAAACCTTTCTGTTTAACCTCAGCAGTCGCTTAATGAAACATGACATAGCACAATATTTACCATTATCTCTTTTAGTATTATTATTTCAAAAAAACTAAACGTTTTATTGAAACTCTAATACTTCTATTGTTCTACCATCTTAAGAACAGTTACACTTTCATGCGTAAAGTTAGGTACATCAAAAATCAATATTTTAGAATTTAGATGGATAAATTATAGTGTGTGGTGAGCAACTTTAACACCTATAAGATTAACAGATGTATTGAGATATAATGTTACTCAGTCATTTTAAATACCCTATTATCTCCTTAAATACCTAATATATGTATTTTTTACTTTGCATTTGATCAAATTGTTACTAATAGCTCTAACTACAATAATTTCATGTTTAATTATTGAAAAAAAACATGGTTTTGTGTTGCGTGCTCCTTTAACTAAATCATAAATTGATACTAAAAAAATATATTATAACTTATAATAATAAATTATAATGATAAATGTTAAACTGTTAACTTTATTTTGTGTTATTTAATTTTAGTAATTTTATGTTTGCAGGTGCCAAAGTGCGTCAAGAAATTTATGATGCGTACGATAATATTTATCCAATATTGAAAAGCTTTAAAAAAAACTAAATTATTTATTATGTAAACATTGTTTTATTTCAATGTATGTATTATTATTTATTATTAACCTTTAAGAATTTACTTTTCTCTTGACATATTTAATTATTTTAAATTGAGTTGTTTCATTGTACAAAAATGTAGAATATTTTTTACAGACTATTTTCATTTATATATTATGAAATATAATAAAAATAATCAAAATAAAATTAAGTGAGACCTCAGAGTGCCACTAAAAATATTTTAAGTTATTCATTGACTTTATCATGCTAWGCATTCAAAACTACAACCTGTACTTCTACTTTCTATAGATTAAAATAACTTAGTTTTAATTTTCCTCAAAAATTAATAATCATTGTATACAAAATATTGAATTGATTATCCATAGAAATAAATTTACAGCATTTATTTATGCTATAATCTATAGTTAATAACCAATTAAGCGTATTAATTCTAAATCAGTGTATTATATTGTGTATATGTATTTGATTTTTCCAATAAATTGTTATCCTCCTTTCATATTATTGCGAGTTCTAACTCTATAAGATATATATTGTATCTTCTACGCCACCCTGCATTATCCAGCCAGCTCATATTATTTAAACCATTTCTCATCATTCCATATTCCCTAAAATCATAATGTCTTCAATGTCTTTACAGATAATATCCAGCTATTTTTAATAAAAAGAAAAATTAATTTACCATTATTTATTCGATATACAAAGAGTATAAATTATTTTTATTTACTGTATAATTAAATTAACTGTAAATTTTTAAGTTATGTTATAGAAAAAAAAAACATTTAAATTTGTTATACAATATTATAATGTACTAATATGTACATTATATTCAATGTTGTATTAATTTATGTTAAAATGTTTCAGTTATTAACATAGGTATGAAAAAATATTTTATACAACATTAAGAAGAATAACATTGCAGAACTGTTCATCTATATGGATGAGGTGCTCCAGCTGCCTTTACATTGGTCTTCATTCCAGGAGGTGGTTTGGGCATCATTCCCATTGGTGGTGTATTTGGTCCCATGCTAGGAGTAACTGGTCTACCAGTCGGAGGCACCATCATACCACCAGGAGATACTTGTGGTACCATCGGTTTTAAATTTTTACCCATGCTTACAGCGGACACAAGTGTATGCAGGTCTGCAACTGATGACGTTTGGCCAATACCAACACGAGCTCCAGTTTCCACTTCCCATTCTTCTCTAGCTTTAGAAACAAGGTCCAGTACATGATTAACTACCTTGTTGAATGCTGCCAACTGTTTTTGTGCTGTTTCAAATTGTAAGCCACCTGCTTTGTGCTCAACCTGCAGAATCAATTATACATATTATAAAATAAGAAAATGTAATAGTGATAAATGGACATAATGAGAGGAGAATATAAATAATACATTTTAGTGACCTGCATGAGTTTGTGTTCAACTTCAGGTTCGGTTTTGGTACGTAAGAAATCTGGTACAATATCGTGGGACAGGGCTGGCACTCGATTCTCAGTGATGCGTGCAAGATCTTCATCGCGCTCAGGGTTTAACATCAGTGGTAACACACTGTAGTTACGCAACTGCGGAAGTTTCTCGTAAGAGAGATATTTCATGATGGCAGTGTACTGTGTTGAGAACACTGCAAAAGTATCAAGCACCGTCGTCCAGTTGACATTGTCTCGTTCATGTTCTAACTTGAATATAAGAGCATATATCTGAGCTTTAAACTCATTCAACTTGCTCTGGAAATTTTCAAGCACCAGTTCCAATTGTTTGTCTTCGCGTTGCATTTTTGAATTTTTTGTAGTACGAGAATTGTAATAACAATTTTTTTCTAAAAACAATCATAATATTATAATTGAAGTCTCATTATGGTATTGCAGCTCACACATTATAATCCTAAAGTAGTGTATCCAACAAAATCTTAGTATAAAAATTTATTTTGTATACATTTTATGAAACATCTAAAAATTCTATAATTAAAAGTTAGAACAGCCCAAACCGTTTAACATAGTTCAAGACGTGCCCTAACAATTGTATTATTGTTGTTTTCAAGTGCTAAAACTATTAGGTGCCCAATGTACACTTTCCTCCGGCTATAAAGGGGCCTCAAAAATCAAAAGCTAAAATACAAAATATCATTGCATATAGTTAATTACAAAAATATTAGGTATCTTGTATGTAAAAGTTTCAAGTCTTCATGAATATTTTTGAATTACAATAAAATTACAAATTAAAATAAAAAAGAAAGCTGTGGCTATATCCCCGACAGTCGGGTCTTTAATAAAGACAACTATGATAACAAATGGGCATGCGCGGAAAATATAAATGATAACAATATAACAATGATAATGCCTGTGATAATCCGATAATTATTATTCATTGATTATAATATTAATTAGTAATTACTAATTGCCAATTGGTAGTAATATCATATATTTTAGAAATAGGTTAATTGTGAATTGTGTGAATATTAATAAATATTAATGTGGATATTACCTATGTACCAAAATTAAATATAAATAATTAACAAATCATTTTATCCTAACTATCAGCTAAAATCTAAAAAATAATGTACAATAATAAATCATCACTAAAATCATTTCGCTTTGTCCGTTCCCAACCTCTACCAAAAGGACAAAAACCTATTTGCAGAGCCATTTTAATCTAAAATAAATGAAACCCAGGTAGCTAAGGTACATTTTAATTTAATACAAAATTACCTTAATAGTAACATCTATACRGACTCATTTCATTTGCAAGTTCATATTCAATAATTCACATAAAAATAAAAATGTATTTTATTWGACACAGAAACATAAAATTGAACATAAAACATATTATTTACCTAGGTCATCAGTGAATGGTTCTATTTTTATTTTAATATCTCCTTTTTCTTCTTCATCTTGGATTTTATGCCACACAAGCTACTCATATTTTTTAGATTCTGAGTAAAGCGAGGAATGCATTTTAATTTTGTAGGTTTTTTTCTCTCTTAATTTGTGGTAAACCGAATGTACCATTGCACTTGGCTCTGTTTATTGTGTAAACTACACGTGTTAATCATTGCTAACAAATATATAACATATMTTCATGTCACATAAATCCCTAGTATTAAACGTCCGGTTATTTAGCCATAACCATTTTCCTCTTAACCGTTGCAATGGTGACTTAAGGCGCCCTGTGCCATTTTGTCCTCAAAAATGCACTCATCAGGAATAACGATACCACCTTGAAGAATCAACCAAATTTCATAATTTTTTTTTTTAAATTGCTAGAGAGAAATATTCTACAGCCCGCATGGATCTCAGATAAAAGCATTCAGAGATCGATGTGGGTGGTAGGAAGTTTTTCTAAGACTTTTAATAAGAGTGATATAGGCAACTAAAATTTGAAATTTAATTTTCAAATTAAAAATTTGAAAAACTGGCACTAGGACCATAAGCGCAATTTTGAATAAATAACATGAAAAAAAAAAATGGAAGGACTTTTTATTTATAATTAATTTTCCCATTTACCATTGCAATTTCCTTATAATGTATAATATCCACATTCAATAATATTTATAATAATTCACAAATACCATATTTCTAAAATATTATAATGACAGTAATATGTTTACCTTTCTAGCCTATATTATTATATTAATTATTAATTATGAATTAATATTATTAAAATAATGTAAAACAATAAAAACAAAGATTGGTTTAATATATAAACAACTTATAAAATATTTTTGGTATTATCAAGATCACGATATTATTATTTTTTGGTGGGTTATTAAATAATTTAATTAATATATTATTGAATTCATTATAAATGCATTTTCTTACCTAGGTATTATTGTTGTAATGTAGTTCCTAGTTCACTTGAAATCTGTAACAGCGATGGTATCCAAGAACATAATATTATCACAGAATAGATTAAATGCATATACCTTATACTCAGAGTATAAGGTCTATGATTAAATGCTGATATTATGACCACGGCTATAGATAATATTAATTTATAGCCGTGATTATGACGGTGTTGGGGGCAGTTGTTGTCCGAAACACAGTAATCAACATTTTTATCAAAATTTACATTTTTATATACTCTTTGGTTCCAACTCGTGCAGATCTTTTATATAATATCTTCTTTGGAAACATACAATTATATCAAGAGTTACCACACAGTAACTACAGCATTTTATTCTGATAAATAAAAAAACAATAACAAATTATTACTACACGAAGTGTAGATACTGTGTTTTAAATTTGTTATGATTGTTATCTGCTAAAATATATTTGAAGCATAGTGAAATTCAAACTCAAAACATAGTAACTGCTAGCAACGTTTTGTTTTTATTTTAAAATTTTTACATTAAATAACTAATTAAAAAAAGAATTATGGACTGGGATCACAATTATGCATTACCAAGACGCCTAAGTAAGTTTTCTTAAGTAATTACTTATTATTATATTATGTATTTACATTAACATGTAATTCTATTTTTAGTTGACAATGTTGAAGATGATTTTATTCCTATTACTGTCAAAGAAGGTACTAAATGTTTTATACACACATAGTATTTAGTTGCACAACATATTAACATGTCATGTTATATTTTATATTATTTTTTTATAGTGTTTATTATATTGTTTAGTTGAAGAAGATTTGGATGACAGTGATTTAAATCCTGATTATATCCCAATTACTGAACATTTTGGTACTAAATAATTTATATACACAACAATGCATTTGTTAATACATCATATAAAAATGTCACATCAAATTGTATACTAGTATTTATATTTTTTAGTTGAAGAAGTTGAAGAAAATTTGGATGACAGTAACTTTAATCCTGATTTAACCCCAATTACTGAACATCAAGGTGCTAAATAATTTATATATACAACCATGCAGTTGTTACTACATCATATTTACATATTGTATATAAGTATTTAACATATTCCAGATAATCAAATTATTGAAGCTGCAAGGAAAAAGAAGAAGTTTAGTCCGGCAGATAAAAAAGCAGTACTAGAAGAAAAAAGGGAATTAAAGAATGTCAATGCCAAGACAAAACATCCAAACCGTTCTCTTACATGCCCTGTAGAGTGTAAAAATAAGTGTAGAGACAATCTATCCACTGATCATCAAAAGTTTTTATGGAAAACTTATTGGTCTCTAACAACGTATGTCCAGAGGAGACAATTTTTAGCAAAATGCGTAACAATAACATCTGTAAAACGTCGAACAACAGTGGAGGGTACTGTTTATAGCTTTAAAAAGTCACAATCCAGGGTTTATAAGCTTCCAGACTCCAAAAAAAATGAAGTACAGGTATGTAAGACCACTCTTTTAAATGTTCTTGGCTATACAAATGATTCTGTTTTAACAGAACTAGTAAAAAACATGAACAGTAATTTTTGTATGTCATCTGTTACTGAAAATAGAGGACAGCAAAATATTAAAAAATGTATAGCCAAGGATATTGTAGCTGATCATATAAGGCTGTACAAACCATCTGTAAGTCATTATCGGCGACTTAATGCACCAAATATTATGTACTTGCCTTTTGGTTTAACTGTAAAAGCCATGTATGATGATTTTTGCTTACAACATAAAAACTATTGTTCTCAAGAGTTTTATAGGCAAATCATAAAGGATTTAAATATATCTTTAAGAAATCCCACAATTGATATATGTGAAGATTGCTCTACCTATCAAAATATAATCGAAAATTCTACTGATGAGAATGGAATTAAAGATAATATTACACTTTTGGAAAACCATAAAGCCAAGGCTTTAGCAGCAACTTCGAAGTATAAGGAAGATTCAAAACTGAGTATCGAGTCAACTTGTATCTACTCTATGGATTTACAAAAAGTTATATTAATTCCTAATATGCCGGATACTAAATCTTCTTTTTTCACCAGTAGACTAGTGGTATTTAATGAAACATTTGCTCAATTAAAACCAAATGCCTTATGCCACTGTGTACTTTGGCATGAAGCCATTGCTGGGCGTAAAGCTGAAAATGTTACAGACTCAATATTGGCTTTAATTAGTAAACAAAGAGATGTACAAGATTTTATTTTCTGGGCCGATAATTGCACTGGCCAGAACAAAAATTGGACCTTATATACGGCATTAGTATGTAACTTAAATTCAACAAATTCATCATTTCAAAATACAAAATCAGTAACAATGAAATACCTAACTAAGGGTCATACCCATATGACTGCTGATGGGGTCCATGGAAACATTGAAAAAAAATTTAAACAAATTAGGAATATATATGACTTTGAAGACCTTAAGAATTGTATTTCCCAAAGCCGACAAAATTTAAATATTTTAGAATTGAAAGATTTTTATGAGTGGCAAAACAAAAAAAGGACTACCAATGCGAAAACAGATACATTGTATGGATTTAAAATGAACAGTGTTGTCATGGCCAAATTTTCAAGAGGATCAACTTGTATGGAATACTGGACAGATTTTGATGGAGAGCCAAAGACTTTAGACTTCTTACAAAAAAATTTTTTGAAAGACATTAAAACATATGCCCCTAAAAAAATTACTCAACATAGAGGAATTAACCTCAATAAAAAAAAAGGAATCGTTGACAAACTTGTTCCAGTAATGCCAGAAAACAGGAAACATTTTTGGATAAATCTTCCAGTGTCTGACACTTCAGAGGATTTGGTTGATGAGATGGGCCTTGGTAATGCTTTCAGAACTTCTGATTATGAATAAGACTTAATAAAGACTGAATAAGTACCTAACAATTATTTTATTATATTTTACTATTATTTATTTTGTTTATATTTGTTGTTATTATTATATAAAACTGTAAAAATTGTTCTACCTGAAGACTAGGTATTTTCAAATTATATATTTTATGCAATAAAGAAAGTGATACATATTTGTTTTTATTTTTGAATTTTATTTTAAGTGGTTATTTCTAGCTTTCACATAATTTTATTAAATCTGTCATTTACCAGTTATTCTTTAGTTTGAAACCAGTAAATTATGCAATTTAGTATGATAATTTTTAGATTGAGATTAAAGAGCATTAACAAAATACAGTTTGTGGTAAGTAAAAGCAAATGATTCATAATACCAACAAAGTGTAGTGCTTTAAAAGACTAGATTCAACCACTACCATTTGGACGTTATACTTACTAATTGAGCATTTAAATATAAATTCAATACTAGTTTAAGTAAACTAGTGCGAAATAAGCATTTGTTAATTGGTTATTGGTTTGGAACTTTCATACTAGTTTGTAAAAATACTCCACTCATAAAACAATTTAAACATTTGTTAGTTCATTGGAGTTAGGGGAGTATTTAGACTTTATTTTAGGAGAAATAGGGCGACTCGATTTTTTATTATGCCACGTCTTCTTGCCAAATGATAAATAAGATTAATGATTTTTCAAAATATTGAATACAAAATATAGATCTAGGAGGTGACGGTTGACCCATCACCCCATAGACATAATATAGATGGACTGCGCGTTCCTCCCCCCTCGCCATCAATAAATTMAGCCTAAATAACAAGACCGGAGAAGGTAAAATAGCATGGATAAAACATTTTTACTGATTTTATTCCAAGGTATTATTTTGTGTAAATAAAAGTGATAACTGATAAGACAATAGACATGTAAAATGTAAAATATATACCTTAATTATTTAAATATTTATTATTCATTTTTTTAAGAATCAAAAAAAATTTATAGGCATGTACGATGGTTGTTTTATATTATGTCTATGCATCACCCCTCTTAAATACCCCCCTAAATGGGCTTAATTTTTATTTAACAAATATAATTTACACATACTGTGTTTTAAATTAAATGTAATAAGATTTTCAAATTTTTCTATAAATTTCAAAACACAGTATCTACTATAACTATTACAGCTTAAGGAAAGCTAAAAATACCATTTTGTCGATTTAAATTGAATTATATGCATTTCCTTGATAACCATATGAAGTTTCAAATGATAAGTATGAAGTTAAGTTGGCGGCCCGACGTACTTTACAAAAATCATTTTCATATCAAATTATGAAAAATACATATACCGTGTTTTGACGATGTACACTTGAACTTTACTGTCAGCCACCGAACCATTCTATCTAATTAAATTAAATTTATCATGTCTTAAACCGTGTCATGAACTAAGATATAATAACATTAATATATTAATATAATTATTGAAATTGTATTTATGAAACCTAATCTTAGTGGTTACTGACTATTATATTTTGTAGACGTATCATCAGACTTAAGTGACTGTAAAAGTATGGCCTTACAGTATTTAGTCAAGGCAGTAGTTAGATAATAGATATTATTAATTTAAGTCATAAAAAACCTTAAATTTTAAGTACATTGCATTGGATATCACACAAATACTTTATTAATTCTAATAGTTTCATCTAACCTAACCCTGTTATCTACATCTGTCGTCTATACTAGTGCTGGACATTGGCTTGCCTAATCCGGATCACGGATTGAAATACAGAATCTGGATTGACGGATTCAATCGGTTTTAATCGGATTATCGAATTCAATCCGTTCTCCGGATTTACGGATTGAATCGGTAAATCCGAGCAACGGGTTTAATTTATAAAGCTGAATTAATAATTTWAAAATAATGTTTATGAACAATCAACAAAGTATAGACATCATGATATTATGTATGATAATATAATATAGTATCGACTATAATTAACATATAATATATTTGTTTGTTATATTAATTATTAATTAAGTTAATTACTAATTTAATAATAATTATTGTATCAACTATCAATCTATATTCTTTTTTTTATTTCTATGTAAATTGATTATTTATCACAATATGCTAATTCATATTAGATCATTATATTTTCCAAAAAGGTGTTTAATACTTTAATGTTGATTTATAATAAAATAAACAAATTACTACCCCATACACTGATGAAAATATAACTAGTAACTAGTAAGTACTAAGTACTAAGTAGTAACTAAATAAAAATCACATGGTTAATTTGAAAAACTATTTTTATTTAATTTTTGTACATAGAAAATGTTACATTATAAAAAAAAAAACAAATATTATTTTAATTTTGCTGCTTTGTGTTATGACTTATGAGAACGCTCTTTCTGAAGGTGTTGAGGTGGACGGAATGCACAAATATTTTTTATTATAATTTTAATTAATTATATTAATCCGGATTGGTATCATAATCCGGATTGATAATTTTTAATCCGTAATCCGGATAAACAGATTAATGACGAATGACGATTGTTTCAAACCGGATTGATCCGGATTGGTAATCTGGATACGGATTTATCCGGATTTGATGTCCAGCACTATAGTCTATACCAGTGATGCCCAACCTTTTTTCCTCGGCGKGCCACTTTGGTAAACATTTGTAATCGAGCGGGCCACCAAATATAAAAGWACTCATRATCTCAWTCTTAATATAATTTAGTTACACATCGTAGGTTGCAATATAATATGGAGGTACATGTTGGACTGATTTTCTTATCTTTTTTATTGACTATAGCACAGATTACAAATTGAGGTACACGTTGTAGGTACACATTAA